TAAATTTTCTTCTTTCAGAAGCTATTTGTAGAATTACTGTAACTTCATTAATTTCTGACTTTTAAACTATTTGGCCGATCGCTTTGAAATTTTGATTATACTTTAACCACCACAAGAACCAATATTTTGTGTAATATGAAGGTTCTAAGAAGTGATTAACATTTATAAAAAAAACTGAAATTTCCGACTTATTTTGTACCTTTCTAAGCAACAAATACGAATAAAACATTTAAAAACCTACAATTTAATAGTTTTTATATGACTTTATCATCATCATTGGTTCTACAGCCCCATAAAAGATCCTCGACCTTCCCAAGTCTATTACGCCAATCAGTTCTATCCATTACCATGCTGCGCTTATTTTCTACCATCCTCCATCCTCATCTACACCATCCCTCCATCTGAGTTTTGGACTACCCCTACTTCTACTTCCCACAGGTTGTGACATAAGGATTCTTCTAGGAGGGTTGTTCTGCTGTGATCTTGCCAGATGTCCTGCCCATCTAAGTCTTACTATTTTTATAATACTACGTCTTTACCACCAAATATATGTTTATATCTGTGATGTATTTCCTAGTTGTACCTCTTTCTACAAACACCATTTTCACAGATGCTACCGAATATTCTTCTCAGGATCCTTCGTTCAAATATAAGCAGTAGGTTTTCATCTGCCTTGGAAATGGTGTATGTATCCGATCCATATGTCAACACTGGTTCTATAAGGGTTTTGTATATGGTTATTTTTGTTTTTTGGCTTAAGTTTCTGCTTCTCATATGTCTACTCAATCCAAAATAGCATTTGTTTGCTAGGATTATTTCCTAGCTTGATTTCAATCGCTTGATTTTTTCCGCCATGACGTTCTCCTTGATGACCAGGGAGCCTAAGTATGTGAATTTGTCCATCACTTCAAAGGTAGAGTTATCAACCGTGAATTGGTGCCCGATTTTTCTGGCTCTATTGCTGGGTGTTGATGCCATTATCTTAGTTTTCTCTTCATTTACTTGCACGCCCATATTTTTTGGGGCATTTGACAAGGTGGTATACATTTCCTCTAGCTTGCGTGTTGTGCGGGCAACTAGATCAACATCATCTGCATATGCCAAAATTTGTGATGATTTATTCAAAATGTTTCCTCTGTTGTCTATTTGAGCATCCCTGACCGCCTTTTCCAGGGCCATATTGAAAAGAAGACACGCCAGCGCATCCTCCTGTCGCAGCCCAATATGCGTTTTAAATGCCTGTGATTGTTCGCCCTGTATTTCGACTTTGCAAACAACTTTACGCATTGTAGCCTTAACCAATCTTATCAGTTTATCGGGGATGTGAAATTCATCAATGGATTCATACAATTTATTTCTTAGAACACTATCATAGGCCGATTTAAAATCTACGCAAAGATGGTGTGTCTCGATATTGAATTAATTGGTTTTTTCCAGTATTTGCTTTAGCACAAACATCTGGTCTGTTGTTGAACGACCAGGCCTAAAACCACTTTGATATTCGCCAAGAAGCTCCTCTGAATATGCACTGTTATATGACTTTATTACTCTTAAATTTGTTTCAAATGCTTCATTTTTTGCTGATAGACGCAAACAGTGAAAATTTACTGTTTTTTGACATTAACTTGTTAATAACCAATTAAGCCCAAAAAATCGACTGCAGTAAACGTATAATTTCTTGTTACAGAGATCCATACTACTCAAAATAACTGTCGACTGGATGAGTTATGTACTAAAGCTAATCGAATTAGTGATTAAGCATTATTTTTAATTTTCTTTGATCTGCTTTATAACACGGTTTTTAAATTAAAAACATTAAATATTAAATTATTTGTTTAATTTTTTTATAATTCCAGAATATTTTACATTCTATGGTTTAAAACGTTGGATCCGTAACTTTTCCTCCTCCCCTACAATAGAATTTCATTATGAAATTTGTTAATTTTAAAATATCTTGTTAGCTAAACTTTGTACATAGTTTTTTCAAGGTTAGGCTATTCTTGTAACAGGAACAAATGAATACCAATGTATGAAATAACTTTTATGGACACTAAAACTTGAGAAGTTTATTTATATTTATCCAGTCATTGTAAGGATATTTTAACTGCTAGCATAAACTATTTAGTGTATTTTATATTTGAAACATAATTATAAACCTAGTTTTCGTAGAACTGTAAGAAACAATAACCTTTTATTTTAAATAGATATTCTAAAAAGAGAAATTAGTTAAAACAAACTATTCAAGAGTTAAAATTTAGAAGAACAAAGAGAAAAATAATTAATATTCAATGCAAATGCGATTTTATCCTGCATAGTTTTTTCCATCCCGTAGCCAATTAAAGTAATCATCACTTCAGTACTCACGCGCCGTAACTTGGATACTAAGTTCATATTATTGGATTCTATTACAATGTCTACATATCTTTAGTATTTTAATAAATACCCATAAAGCTATTTTATGTTTGTCATACTTTAGCCCCGTGACTTCAAAATCACATAAAATACCTTAAGATCCAATTTTAACCTCTGTATTTCTCTACATTATATTATAATGTAGATGAATTTGGGAAAGCAGTAATTCACACTTGGTACGGTATAAAGGTAAAAGACATTTTAAAAGGTCCTAAGTGAAAGCAAAAGTAAAGTGATTGTAGAAAGTGAGAATTTGAGGACTTTTAAATCAGCCGAAGGCTCAAGTAGGGGGAATCCCTTTCCTCCGTTCTATTTTAACCATTAAAAACGATTTTAAAAAATTTCATAATAACGTAAATGATACTCCCTTCAATCAGAAAACACGTCATTTACTGTGCTTGAAACATGATATGTTCAGTAAGAGAAAATAAGAAATGAAAAATAATTTCTTGATAAAAGAAGATCAAACCTACCAACGAAAAGATAAGAGTATATTATAGAATGATAAACTAGAACAACAGAAACAAATAAAGCATCGAGCCTTTCACAAATGGTTTAGCTCCCAAGAAGTAGACGACAAAAACCGACACCGCAATCAGCCAAGGATTTTTAAAAGAATGGTTATAAGACGTAAAAACCAAACCTTGGAACGAAAATGCGAGGAGGTGTAATGATATCTAGGTGGAAGCAAGTCTTTGGAGGGTTAGATATTCATACAAGAGCTAAGGAGGGAGGACATAAATACAACAAACCTACAAACAATCAACATCAATGTATTTAAAAGTCACTATACAAAAAATCTACAAAAGTTCAGATGTGAATATCTCTAACAAATACCCAAAAGATACCAAATCTATGAAACAGAAATAAACATTGGAGACAACCTACTCCCAAACTCAAAACTATGTAAAATAAAAACATATGGACTGGACCAGAAGGAATTCCTTATGAACTTTTAAAAAATGCAACACAAGATAAATAAAGACAGAACTTATAGATACCTAAACGGGGATAACATACCTGATAGCTGAAAAGAAGGATGGATTACTCTGATCCATAAAAAAGGTATAAGGTAAAACTACCGCTGGATCTGTTACCAGCACTCTCAGTATATTCTACGTAAAAGTTATAAAAACCATAGTCGAAAACGAATCTGGACCACTTGAGCTGGAACAGTAAACAGGATTTCGAGTTGACCACATCATCGACCACATCTACACTTTAACCAACTAAATGAAAAAAGAATGGCTGGGGATAAACTAACTTATCTATTATTTGTGGACATGACGAAAGCGTATGAATCAATATTCTTATATAGATGGAATCTGGCCGATATATAAAAGAATCAGTATGGCAAGTAGGAAAAGTTCATCTATTAACATTACATGAGTGTAAGCAATACAACGATTCTACAACGATCTTCGATAAAAAAATAAAGAATAACAACCAGTTCTCCGAGAAATTTGCGGTAAATAAGGGACTAAGGCAAGGCCGCAGTCTCCAATACTTTTCAAAATCTAGCTGAGTGAGGTACTAAAGAAATGGAGATCATGTTCTGGAATGGGTATACTATTAAACGAAGAAATATTCCTATATACGTTTTATTTCTCATGTAAAGCCAAGTCTTATGGAAGAACTGGAAAGAGCTAATGGGATAGTAAAAAAATATACCAGCAAACATAAGAATACCAGCCGATTCTTAGTATATTTAGAGGTGAACCGAAAATTAATTGTTATTGCAAACGATCGGAAAAACGAAACGGAACTAAGTTTAAGAGGAAGGCGACATTGACCGCAGATATCATTTTACAAAACAAGGTTGTTTTCAATTTTATACCATATAGCGTAGGGACACTACGGAAAATACCTTCCTTAGTTACAAATGGATAGGCGACCAGTTTTTAAGTTGGTGTTTAGCATAGTACTATTTCTAGTATGACCGGACATTCATGTTTGGTAGCTGTATCTATTCTCTTTTAGACGATTATTTAAATATAATCTTAGAATGTAGGAAGAAAATGTTATATATGCTTCGTTTTTTAGCATCCTATGCCTTACTGTTTATACCAGTGAGTCACCGTTTACCTAGTTATGAAACTCATCTCTCATGGTACTACTGATCCATTGGCCGATACGATTTACTAGTGAACTCGAATTTAAAATCGCAAATATGCTTGGAATTTTATACAACTACATTTTAAAACATTTCTGACTGGGATGTGATTCGAACCAAGTACGCACCAAACTACTATCCTACAGAGCTATTGAGCCGACGCAAGGGAATTGTTAAGAATCAAGTGGTAAGGAATGAAAAATATTTAAGACTAAGGAACAGGTATCTAGATCAACTTTACCAAGCTGCTGAAAACAAAAAAAGGATTAAAATAGCTACATTAGAAAATGTCAGTATGACATGGAAAGAACGTAAATCTAAGTCTCACCAAACAAATGGAAACTAAAAATAATGCTGTATTTTTACTTAAAGGAACTAAATCATCTTATCAGCATCATAACAAATGTATAGTCATAACCAAGTGATTATAAATTGTGTAAAAACTGCATAAAATTTAATTATCTCTTTTTCTCACCTCTTCCAGTTGAAGACATTTGGCCCATTCGTGAAGTGTAATTCTGTGGTTGTTATCAGCATCACATGAATTTAAGAAAGGACTGATACAGTGTTCCAATGCCATCAATGGTGCACGAATTGGGAACAACTCGTGACGGGAAACAGATCTGAAACATTCGAAAAAAGTAAATTAATTCCATATATTTAACTGTTAGTTGACAATGAAGCACCATCGATTTTTTTGTAGTTATTAAATTAGTTTTTCTATCCATCATATTTTTTTCTTGCAACATTTTCTCTATATTTTCAGTTTTTAAATCTTGATGCTCTTATTAAACTTATTTTTCATAGTTTAAAATGGCTTTTCCATATTCTTTTTGCGCGTTCTTGTGACATTTTCTTTTTTCTTCGATATTTTAGTAATTTTCCTTTCATTTCAATGTATATTAATCAAATTTTGGACACATACATAAATTATATAAAAATGTAAGGAAACTAAACCGTTAAAATGATACTAACCTGTCTGGTGGATTTCCATCTAAATCACAGAATTTCCAGACAGCAGCATTTGTCCAACGGCGAGTCATGTTTGATTCAGCTTCACGTTCCATGTTCAAGTAATGGGGTGTAAGTTCTTGACGGTCAGCCAAATCCCTCATGATGTTGAAAAGCCAATCACGCATTCTGCGTGGGAAGTCAGCCATTTCTTCTTGGGTACAATGCTAAAAATTAACGATATTTAAAACATATACTATGTTCAAAAATGATTGAATTGTGAACATCAGAGAGGCATAAACTTCCAAATAAATGAAAACATAAGAATAAAAGGATTTAAGTAAATAGAAAGAACGGACAAGGAATATAAAGAAATGCTGCATTAGTTCTTTTTCTGTTTATTTTTCCTAAATGTTTCACCTTTATATTATACTATTTTATTATTGTTATGTAACAAGTTGTGAATCAGAACATAAAAAAGGGCTTTCAATAATAGAAAAACAGATTCTACGTACGCACTTCACTTTCTAAACCGTAATCATTCTTTGAATGATCAATTTCAAATACTTCGCATTAAAAATAAAGACCTTAAGCTATCTTTATTGGAATCTATGAAAATTAACAAATTTAAAAGTAAAAATAAAAATAAAATTATATAATTCTGAATGACAAACTTTAGACAAACAGTTCTCCCCTCCTCAACTTATTTAGTTGAAGACTAGCTGAAGACAAATAGACCAAGTGCAGACGCATACCAAAAATAGATCACTTAAGAAAGGCACTTTGTTATGATAAATTATAATAAATTTTGGCAAAGTATTAAAAAAAGTTTTCAATGTTTTATTGTTAGAAAAAAATATGTTTAATATATATGTTTAATAGTACTTATTATATAAACATACTCACAGGCATTTCCCTACATTGTCCGTAATATTCAATGTGAACATGTTTATATTGGGGTCCTTTGCATTCCTTGTCTCCTTTAGCACACAAGCATCTTTGTTGGTAGATAGCGCAATCTGAAGACCACGTCTCGTTGTAGTTGGAGCATACCTTACGACGAGATTCACTTTCTTCGGGACAAGTTGGAATACAAACACATTCAGGTTCTCTCAGTTCATTGACTTGACAAATTCTTCCAGCTCCACAACGGACCTGCATACATGGATCTAGAATTGATGATTTACTTATTTACTTTAAACAAAATTATCTTCTTTTTATTAGTTTACATGTTTTAAGCAGAGGGAATAGTTAATTATTGACAAATCAACGAATTCTGAAACTATTTTCTTTTATTCTGACTTTTATTGTGTATAAACCACAATTGAAAACCTTCTGACCAGAAGAGAACCTGCCACCAAACAATTTGTAAACATCGTTTTTAACTTATTTTCAAATCGTAAGATCCAATTTTCAAATTTTTCTCGGAATTAAAGTCCACAATCGTTTGCAAATATGTAATTAAATAAACATAATAAAAGTAACACAAATGTTCATTTAATTGTTTAATATTATTTGACAAAATCTAAGGCTTGTTCCCTTTTATATATTCAGTTGTCAATATTTTCATTATCTGAAAAATCATCCAAATGTTCAATGTTAAAGTATTTGTGCTCAACAGAAGTAAAAATGCCTTCTGTAGTAAACTATTGCTCCCACTGTTAAATTTGGCACTGATATAGCGTGTTGTAGATCAAAGCTGAACCATTGAATTTCCCGTAGTTTTAGCCTCTTCTGTGTTCTGTTTCATTAGATCCTGCATATCATGGGCAACTCCAAATCAATGTTCAATATCTTTGCAATTTCTTTTTCAGCTTTATTACTATTTTTCATATTAATTGAATTGCACACTTTACAGGTATCGCTTTTAGGTAAATTAAAACCTATATTAAACTTGGAATAGATTATGCGTCTATATTTATCTTGAGTTAATGTCATAAAGTTATTTTGGCGGCACCAAAAATCATAGTACATAATAGTCATGTTATAAACTGGAAATTGAAAGATCTGAATTTAGGTAGACTTTTGTTGGGTTTTGCCTGCTATAATGACATGTATATTTTGGTATTAAACTAATATGCACTAATATTCTCACAGTTTTCTTCTGGTATCTTCTTCTTGTTATTGTTATAACTACCTCTTTCACTTTACTTTGAAGTAGACGCAACTCCTTTATTTTGTATAGCAAGAATCTCTTTTTTACACATTTTAACTTCATCTTCATTTACTTTGACTCTATATTTAACGGATACATTTCTGGATGAACGAACTCGTTTTGTTTTTTTTTTTTTTGATAACTTTTCTTCTTTAGAACTACTTTCATACTTGAGAATTGGTAAATATTCTGCTTGTTTTCATTACCTAGGTTCCAAAAGGGATTAAATATATTTATCATTTTCGTTGCCCGCCAAAAACTGTCTACACTGTTTTGTGCAACCGCAAGTGTTACATAACTGTAACCTAGATTTCTGTTAGTCTTGCGCTTAATTTTTTATGATGGGTATTCTTGTGTCTCCCTCTAGAAGGGGTCTTCTTTTCTGCAGTTGGTAAGGTACCTCGAGAAGTCTGTGGAATATAAGCATCCTCATTGCCCTACAATAAAATGGGGATTTTACTAAAAAGGGATAAGCCACATAAAACCTTCAGAACAAACCTAATATTTTAGTTTCGAAAAATATAACAAAAGGGGCCTAGCCACGGATTCCTACCTACCCAACTGTTCCTAATTTTATATTTTCCCAATCACTGCTACTTCCGGACACTGTATACCTAGTCTTTGTCATCTTGGCTTTAATTGAAAAACGGATCTTGGTCACTGCCATCAGAATCAAATTGAGAAAGATCTATTTTCCGTTTACATGCACCGTAATGTTCCACTGCCTACTATTGCTTATCTCCTTCTGTTGCAGTACAAAGTAATGGTGACACAATGGGAGTTACTACAGCGGCGCCATCTATGAGAAAATCGCTGAACTTTTTTGTTTGGGATATTATTATGATCTTCAGTGTGCAATTTCAACTTTAATTCATTTTTGACGAAATTGTGACTTGTCTCCTTATGGTCCCAAGGTCTCGAATTATGAATTATCCTTTTTTATAGTATATAAATAATTGTACGTAGCTTTTGTGGCGCTTTCTTCTTCGTGACTATTGATATTTTTTATAACTTTTTTAAGTTCCTTTTCTGTTGTTTGTATTTTTTTTTTGAAGATTGCTTGTTTGTTTCTTCTTATTCTTGTGGTATTTGTTTTTGTATGAGTAAAGTAGGATTCTTTGTTGTCATTATTTCGTAGTTTAATTTTTCTTCTGTGTGTTTGTCAGTTTTCGCAATATTTACCAAGATTCCGAAAATTTTATTCATCGTTCGTAATTTTTACTATACCACTGGCAAAGGTTCTTGAGCCAGGATGTTTGTCGTCGTCCAGGACTATGCATCCTTCTATTTTCTCTTAAATTATCACATGCAGTAGTTCATATTTAAGATTTGGCATCAAGTGAAAGAAAAGTAAAACTGATTCGATTCGTTACTTTTTTCATTCTAGATATGATTAACATTATGTGGTAAGCTCAATATTAAAAGCTCAATTCTTTTGATTAATATATTCTAATAATAAAATACGATTAATATATATGCTATTAATAAAATAGAATGCTCAAGACCTGACCGTGTAATAGACGTATTCTTAAGGGAATTCTTAAGGCTCTGTTGTTAATACATTTAATTTCTTCCTAAATGATGCTCCGGCAACTCTATACTGCTGTAAGTTAAGTTGATAGTTTGATTTTTGTTTTTGCTGCTGACTATTAATTTGGTTTTCGTTGTATTTACTTTCGAACCTTTTTGTTTACTATTATCTGTTACATCTTATAAAACTGTATCTAAATCATCTTTATCAGTAACTGTCCCATATTATTTTAAAACTTATTTTCCAATTTCTTTTGTTATAGATTTTTAGATAAGATAGATTTTACAGAAAAGGAAAAAAATGAAAGACATAATGACATGTATATGACTAACAACGGATCTAGATTTTTTTAAATGGGATAAACTGCAATTAATTATACTCAAAGCATCGAGTTAGAATCTATGGAGAGGGCATCACGTGACTAAAAACGACCTAACTTCGGCCATATTGGTATTATTGTTTTGAAACTTTTGACAGACCGTATACGTTTGGTTATATTTGTTGTTTTTCAAATATTTTCAGTTTTATAATAATTTTATAGAAACTGTAATATATTGTGTAGTGCATAATAATGGTTTCTTGTTCTCAACGTAGTTGCAGTAGCAGAAGTAATGTTAATAAAAAATCTTCAGGAATATCGTTCCACAGGTTAGTATACAAATATGTAAATAAAGTACAAAGTATTAATTTATCTTTATATATAATATATCGTGTTTTTAGTGTTTACCGCGGGATAAATAAATCATAGTTTATTAAAAATGTATTGCACTTTTTTAGATTATGATTAAATCTTCTGAATAACTAGTCATATTTGTATAGTAGTTTTATTATTAATGAGTCTGGCCCTGATGTCACCGCCATATTGGTATTATAGTTAGCCACTCCTACCTATGCCGTTTTTAATACATACGTTAATTAGCTTCTCCATAGATTCTAACTCGATGACTCAAAGTAACATTTTATTATTCTGTTTTGACGTTTCGATTTCCAATCTGGAAATAGTTTTCAAAATATACTACGCGGCATAAGTTGGGGTATCCAATATAATGGTAATGGTACTTCATTCTGCATAAATTATTTGTATGTAAACAATTAAAAATTATTATAGTTTAAAAAAAACATGAAAATTTGAAACCTTATAATCAGACCAAAAAAACATTTTAAGTATTGACAAAGCACCTGTACAGTCATTTGAAAATGACCTTTGTTCTTTCAAATAGGGTAAACAAATTTAATTGTTAAAAAACTACTTCAACGATTGTACACATTAATATAAGCGCCCAGTAATTTTTCGATTTTTCAAGTGATTTTTCGGCTTTGTTTCATGTAATACACTATAAACAACTTATAGATTTTAATTTAATTATTTATTTTTCTGAAAAAAAAATAGTGTTAATTATTGATGTAGATAAGTGACTTAATTGATTTATACAGTTGTATAATTGTTGTATTATTGTTTATTTAATATTTAGCTATATCCATAACTTAAGCAACCTACAATTAATTTTTAAAATTTCAAAATTTTTTAAAACTATTTCCGGATTGGAAATCAAAACATAAAAACAAAATAAGATATAATAATAAAAGATATAATTTTTCCTACAACTAACTGTGGTTTGATCTCATCTAAAAAATATTTTACATCTGTTAAATATGCAACAAGAAATCAGTTTCAGAACTTTTTCAAAATTGGATGAGGGAAATATGTGGAATATTCAACTTGTCGATTTGAAAATGAGGTTTCCAAACCAAATGGGATGACAAATTTGAATTGTTAGGGGATTGTAAATCACATACCCACTAATGGAACCCGGTTGTCGATATCATCATCGCCTGGTGGAGCTATTGGAAAGGCTTCTTCAGATTGTAAATCATTTTTAGAATCGAAAGATTCAATGTGTATTGGCTTCCTTCTGGTCTTTTTACGTTTGACCTAAAGAATAAATAACATTATATCTAGTACTACATTAAGCGATTAAAAGAAACTTACTACTTTCTCAGCAGCAACGTCAGTGACTAGAAAGACGACGAGAAAAATTAAACCTAAGTGGCACAGCTTCATTTTATCTGCTGAATTTTAATCTGTAACAAAATAAATAAACATTTAAATAAATATCTTCAACAGGTGTTTCGAGGTTTCACCTCTCGTTAAAAAGGCTTGTGGTAACTCGTATTGTAATCAAATGTAGTTTATTTATATGGCCATTATAGTACCATTAAATGCCGGTGTACGCTAGTAGCGACCTATATATGAAGCAATAAGAAGTTAGGAGACTTCTATGCAATGGCGAATTAGGTGAGCTATTGGACGAAGTTAGCAATAAGCTTTTATACCGAAAATACAAAAACGATTTTTGTATTGAGAGGATGATTTCTGACGTCAAAAAAACTTATTTTAAAATTTGTGGCTTATTCTATATGTTGCTACAAGAAATGGCTGTGTTGAGGTCTTTCTATACCATGCTATCAAGTTACCAAGCCAGGATATTCTTCTTCATCCTGGGGCCATTTTTTCCTTCAATTTTACCTTGCAAAAATGCACTGAAGTAGCTCGTATCTGCCTTGATTTCTCATTATATGTCACAAGTACTGCAGCTTACGGCCCTTCACGATGCTGACCAAATCCGTAGTTGTGTCCATTCTTCGCAGTACTTCTTTATTGCTGACTTTGTCTGTCCATGGTATCTTCAGGATCCTTCTGTATAACCACAGCTCAAAGTCTGAAGTTTTGATAGAGTTTCTGCCTTCAATGTCCACGTTTCTACTCCTTACAGAAACACTGAGTACACATAACATATAAGAAGCCTTATTTTTGTATTTATAGTGAGGTCATGGCTCTTGAACACAGAGCTCATATACAAGAATACACTTTTTGCCTTTCCAATGCGGCATTTAATCTTCTGGGTATTATCCCATGACTCATTGATCATAGTTCGCAAGTAGTTAAATTGTGAGACACGTTCAATTCTAATTTGATTCACATACAGATTTGCTCCAGTTATGTTTTCCTTGCTGATGATCATTAGCTTGGTTTTGCTGTTGAATGTCAAACTCAACAGTCTTTTGTAGTGATTACCATTATCAGTAATGCATTGATTAAGTTAAAATCTCTATCTTCAGTCGTAACCTCCCAGAGGGAGTATAGTGGTCATCGCCATGTCGTGTATTGTCCATCTCCAAATATTTCTGTCTCAGGTCATTTCTTTTAACTCATGCATAGGCCTTTTGCATATTTCCGTAATTTGTCCATTCTTTTTGATCCATCTTGTTGGAAATATTTCTCGTGATCTTCGGCCTTCTTCCTTTTATTGGATAGTAAGTTTTTTCATGGTTTCTGTGTCTGCTCTTAGAACATGTTCAAAGTATTTTAATTGTTGGAGATGGACTTAGCTGGAAAGCCGTTTTCTGACTATTAGTTCATTTAAAATTGAATTATTCATCCGGTGTTCCACGGAATTCGTAACATTCTTCTCCAACAGAACATTTCAGTGTCGTATATTTTTCGTCTTTCTGATTGTCCTAGGATCCAAGATTCTGATCCGTATGTCCGTATTGAAAATATTAAGTTACTTGAGTTAATGAAATTTGAGAGTCTCTCCATATTTTGGCCATCTTTCATATGGCGACTATTGCTAGATCACATCTACGTTTTATTTCTTCCTGTGGTGACCCTATGTTTGTGATCAATAATGAAATCACAACCTCAAACTAGTTAATCGTGGTTATGTGTGGATTATTTTTATGGAGTCATCCACTATCATGATCTTTGTTTTTGATTTGTTTAACTGCAGACTAAATATTTGACTTTCGTTTTCAACCAGTCGTATGAGATCAGATAACTCTTCTTGGCTATTTGCAAGTGGGGCTGTGTCATCTGCAAAACGTAGATTGTTTATTTTTCGGTCGTTTATAAAGATACCCTTTTCCCATCTTTCAAGCGCTCTTCTCATAATATGCTTCCATATACATTAAATAATTGTGGAGACAGTATACATTCTTGTACCACACCTTGTTCTGGATCTACATCCGCCTGCAAATATTGCAGAACTGAGACAACACATAATAATATATTTTCAACACGTCATATATATCTTAACTTTTATTTAGGTGTATCACGTAATATACAAATAAATAATTTAAATATGTCCCGTATAAGTTTTTATGGTGGACTTGAGAGCGTCTGATAATGATTGGCGTAAATAAAACCTACTTTTTGATTTTATTGAGAATAAAAGCTTTCTGTGACACGTATTTTTTCAGTATGTAATAATATTAAATTGTTAATATGTTGAATACAGCCTAAGTTCAACGACGTATTATATTTATTTATTTATATTCATAAAAATATACTATTCAAAAAAATATTAAAATTCAATTTATATATCAATTAGCATACCTCATAATTATATTTTTGCCTTTAAAACACGACTTTATAAGATTTTATCTTTGCATATCCTGTCATAATATCAGCGTATATTATGAGGATGGTATGTACTGATAGACTCTTCCGGTATTTTTTGTACAGGGTCACATTTATTTCTACTTTTTGACCTAAAAATATTTTGATTTATATTTAAAATACTCAGAGACCTCAAGGGAGTCATGATGAAAACAATAATAAATGAAGAAAACCAGGTCAGATAGTGCATAAAATCTTCTAAAATCATATTCGCTCCGTGCGTGACTGACACGACACCTACCGCCTTTTTCTGACAATTTTGGAGTCCCAATTTTCAGGTTAAACATATGACATATGTTTGACATTGTTAAATACATGAGAAATTGACAATTATTAATAAATTAGTTTTTTAACTATATTTTTTAGTTTATGTACAAAATAAATGTAGTATTAAAAACTGGGTTTCTCAAAATTCATCACAATATATCTTTTCAACTCCAAACGTAAGAGAAAGGGAAAAATCTAGTACTGACAAATCAAGTTTTTCACGCAGAAGAGCATATAATTAAAAACAATAATAGTAAAAGTTATGATATAAAAGCTAAAGTCATCTGCAGTTAGCTTGAAGCCTTATGAAATATCATTCAAGGTAAATTATTTAAATTTTTCCTATTTCAATTGCGTAAAAATGAAATTATGTGATATTTACTTTTTCATATTAATAGCAGGAATTTATCTTTTTCTTTTCTCTAATTTATATGTAATCTTTGGGAACCTATAAAAACTACACTCACTGTTTTTGCTATTATTAGCACAATTAAATACGCAACATGCATTTGCACACATTTTTGATAAAATTTATGCGTAAAAATATTTTGTCCAATATTCCAATTTTGTCATATTTCGCCGCTATGCACGCTGGCGTCGTTTCAATGTACCCCTACCATGGTCACGCACGGAGCGAATAGGTAGGTGCCATAGCTTTTACTGTAGTTGCTGTATGTGTTGTATCTGTTCCATATTGTTGGCAAATGTACCAATATAAAATACTCTTTAAGGCTAGGACGACAATAAAATGATATTTTAGTCTGTTGTACAACTTTCATAACAAATAAGTTACTTTTGGAGCATCGTTGAACTTTTGTGTAAAGTCGTCTTATGAAATCGATCTATGCACAAAAACCAGCGTAATTCTAAGTATGGCAATTCATTTGTTAAGAAAGCTCAAGTTTCGTATTATATTTTTTACCGATCACCAAATTTGCAGCCAATACTTTAGAATCAACAAACTTTCAAAATAATTAAAAATTAAATTTTTAAAATAATGAACTTCTTGCATGAAAGGGTCGGTCTTTTCATCTCCATATAAATATTGTCATATCTGATAGATAGTTATCTAGGGGATAGACATTTATTCATAGAATAAAAAGTATCCGTCTTTTCACGTCAAATTATGTTGCGGTCACTTATGTGTAAGATAAACGTAAAATTTATTTCGAACACACCAGTAATAGGAAGGAATAACTTAAATTATGTAAGAAATATTTAATAACGAATAAAAAAATAATACATGTATATTAATGATTCTTCTGAGACTTCTACATAACACTAAAATATTATATAAGGTTAACTCAAACATCTTCAACTGCAGAAAGTTCAAAAATGTCTTCATTTAGCAATTCATCTTTAAAATTGCAGGAAGATCGTGCACTGCTGGTATATTCGTTCTGCAGCAGGTAATCGAGAAACGGAAGGCAAGGAATCTATCTGCCCACCTATTGTTTGTAGATTTAGAAAAGGCATCCGATATGGTACCTTTGAAAAAACTGTTTCAAACATTGACGAAAATAGGTCTCAGTATAGAGTATGTGGATGTTATCGCAAATATATACAAAAATGCAAGAAGTGTCGTTGAAGAAGGAAACTTTATATCTGAATCATTTCCAATAATAAAGGGGCTTAACCAAGGATGTTGTCTATCTCCGACCTTATTTAAAATATATATATATATATATATATATATATATATATATATATATATATATATATATATATATATATATTTAATCATCGTTAGAGCAGTGGAGGAAACAAATATCCGGAATGGGAAATAGACATAAGCGGTGGTCAATGTTTGACAACTTTATTTTTCGCATATGATTAGGTAGTCCTAGCGAATTATGAGGAAGACATGGACTACATATTTAGAAAACTAAAGAAAGCATATAAAAAATGGGGCCACAATATGAATATGTCAAAGACAGAGTATCTTAAAATAGGAGATGATGAAGAAGATCTAGAGTTAGAAATTAGAAACACAAAAACATGCAATGAATATAAATATCTCGGATCTATAATATCTAAAGAAGGCAGCAGGCATAGAAAACAGAACGCATCAGGGAAAAAATCAGTAAACATTCTAAACTATCTACTATGATCTAAAGATATTAGACAAGAAACGAAATTGACAATATATCGAACCTTGGTAGAGCCTATTATGACTTATGGGGCAAAAGTTTGGCAAATCACGAAAAAAGATAGAAAAAGAATAGAAGTAGTAAAAATGGATTTTCTAAGGAGAGCGTGTGGTGTATCCAAAAAAGTTTATATCAGGAATGAAGATATTAGAAGGAAGACAAATACTGTATATTCCAGTGTAGACAGAATTGAAACGAGGCAACTA